GGCACTTGGAAATGACTTCAGGTTTTCTCACTGAGCAGAATATAGTCAAACACTGCTATAGTTAAATATTTCACCCTTTGTTCTCTCTGTGTGATCTACAATAATAATCTGCTTCGTGTTGATATTTACTGCTGTGTTGCTGACAATTACCTAAAAGAGAAGTTGGGGTTCTTCACTGGGCTGGAAAAGATTTAGCTAAATCAGAAATCAGGTCTAATTAAGCAAGTTTATCTACATGTTATAAAGCTCTTGCTGGTGCCAACTGCACGCGTGTGTTTCGATCTGTCATTGTCAATCGTGAATTTACACTTCCATTATAGAGAAAGGGCAAATAGCAATATTAAAATATTTCTTCTAATTAATTCCCTTTTAAAATGCATGAATTTCATGCACTGGGCCACTAGTTTTTGTGTAAATTGACACAACTTATATGGGGGCGGGGTAGAACAATCTTAATCCACACTACTTATTTATTGACCCAAAATTCCAGTTCTCGGAATTTATCTGACAGATCAGCTTGGGGTTGTGTGAAATAACTAATAGACAAAGTTATTTCTTTTTAAAATATATTTTTATTGATTTCAGAGAGGAAGGGAGAGGGAGAGAAAGAGAGGAACATCAATGATGTGAGGGAATCATCAGCTGCCACCTGCACGCCCCACACTGGGGACCAAACCCACAACCCAGGCTTGTGCCTTTGACCAGAATCAAACCTGGGACCCTTCAGTCCACAGGCCAATGCTCTATCCACTGAGCCAAACAAGCCAGGGCACAAAGTCATTTCTTAGAACAAAAGTCACAGACAGTTCACATGCCACCCATGGGGACTCCTGTGCAGTAGTGGAGGCTCTGTGGGAGGAAACACAGACGTGCTCTCCATGCCGACAGGGAAAGGTCCCCAGGACCCACGATGCACTGAGAAACGAGCTGCTGAGCAGCTTGTGTGGATGCTGCCTGTGGTGTAAGCAAGAAGAATAAGATGTTTATTATATATATAATAGAGGCCCTGTGCACAAAATTAATGCACTGGTGGGGTGGCTGTCCCTCAGCCTAGCCTGCACCCTCTCCAATCTGGGACCATTGGGAGATTGGGCCTAAACCGGCAGTCGAACATCCCTCTCACAATCCGGGACTGCTTGCT